GTAAAGTTTACAAACAAGTATTGATACCTATTTTGTTATAAGACATCGATTTATTATTATTGTATCGCGTTGTGTGTTACGACACACTTACGGCTAAACGTTGTCTGAACATTGATAAAAGAAATATATTTGATTTACTATTATCGAGTGGTACATCAGTGAAAATACTATCCTATTATTGAATACTAACAACTCTATTCTCACTTCGCTCGGGTTTGTACCTGTTAGTGATTAGTATGGATTATATAAACAAAATATTATATGATATATGTATACTGTATAGCTTTCCTCAATAAATGGACTATCTAATGCAAAAAGAATTTTTCAAATCGGGTTAGTAGTTCCTGAGATTAGCGCGTTAAGACTAACCCTGCTTCTTTATACTATTAGTATAAATTAACTTAAAAACCCTATGGTGTAGCTTTCTTTTAGTTAAATCATTATCGGAAACGGTTCAGTTGTTCCTGAGATTATCTCTTATTGTATAACCTATCTACATATGTTTCTCCTTACAAGAGGCAGGAATTTGACTTTATTGAATGTCAATTTCCAGTATGGAAAAGTATGCATAGATAGGTTATTAGGAACCACCATAAGTAACTTGAAGAACCTGGATAAAGTAGTTTAGTCCAATTAATTATTTTATTTATAATATTTTTACTTTCAGTTTATAGTGTTTCAATGTGACAAAACTTAATTCCTTTATTCATGAAAAATTTAAAGAAATATATATTTTGGCATCTTATAAGATACATAAAATACTAATTAATAGATATATAATACATATTCAAGCATACCAGAATATTCTAATTGATTGTATATTATCTAACTCTACTTATAAAAACTATTAATTTTATAATAAAGTAAATTGCACATCCCTTCTAAAGACTAATTAAAGCTTAGGTTTTGTTTTGTTGAAAGTCACAACCACAGTAAGACATTTATTCTGAACTGGTATTGATAGATTATAATTTTAATTTCCATTATGACATTTTGTGTCTGTTTACATAAAAAGCTTAATTTACAGTGATTCTTCAAAAGACTTTTGCAAACTCATATCTGAATGACTTACGTGGTTGGGTAACAAATTATGTATTTAATTTAATGATTTTGATTTATAAAAAGTATAATACAATATTAAATAACCCTGAAATTTCATCTTTAAATTTTTTTGTCACTATGATTCATTAGTTACTTATTTAAGTTACACTATAGGAGAAAATATTTTTTAAAGACAAAGGTAAATAACAAATAATAATCATTAAATGTGAGCAAATAAGATGTTACTAAATATAAAATAAATAAACAAATATATTAAGAAAAATTTCCTATGTGTAGTTTGTTTTTTTTTCTATTATAATATTAAACACATATTTTATAAAGAGAAAATTAAGTGAACATTTTAAAATTAATTTAAATATATTCATTTTTTTAATGTTTTTAATGTATAATGTATTCCATTCATAAAAAAAATCATTTTGTTGATAAACACTATAATAAACAATTATTTAGGTTTTTTATTTATAGTTGTATTATTATAAAAAATTATACTAACCTATATCTCATTTTTACAGACTCATAGTACTTTTAATTAATATTTTATTTAAAATAAGTAAAATATACAGTATGTAACTGTGTATCGCAATTTCACCCTAGGAGAGTTTTAGTATAATCAGATGCTAATACCTATTATAAAAGCAAATCAATAAATATACATAAGTAAAACGAAAAGATACATTCCATAATAAATATTTTATAAAAACACCTAAAATTACGATAAAAATAAGCAACTGAGACCTAAGTTGAGAATTCTATAAACATAGTGGTGATATTTTGAAATCAAATTATTTTGAAATTTATGAATTATAAATCTTCTAGCAGATACATTTTAATAATTCGAATGTTATTATATTTAACTATTAGTATGTGTATAACAATAATGTATCTCATAAGACAGAACAAATAAAACGACTACATTAATTAATAAACGTTATTGAACGTGGATGTAAGTAACTGTTCTCATAACAAGTATATAACGGACAAACCAATCAGCTTATAATCTCTTGGCTTGTATTAGAATTATAAATTTGTGTAATTATTTTCTAAATTTACATTAAAATATAAAATAATAGTTTGTACTTACTTTTAATCGAGTAAGACTTCCGTTTCGTGCAGCGAGAAAAATGTGATAAGCGGATGCTTTGAAATCCATAATGGTTTTCCTTGCGACGTAGAAACTCACAAATGTCGACAAAGCACTTCAAGCACAGCACTTTCTTCTAAAAATAATCATTGAAATGCACTGTTTCACGACAACAAAGCAACCAAATTTTTTTTCAAAACACTCCGACCGTCACCGCACTCGAGCCTTCTATCGAACAGCTGCAGCCGCAGGACAATCACAATCTGCCATTAAAAAGTTACCATACTCAACCATAGGTAAGATTTTGTAGTGGCCATAGACAAAGAACTTTTCAAAATCTACGTCAAAGTTACTGGATAAAATTGTTGCCAATATATATTTTTGTGACTATTGTAAAATAAAAATATATTACTTGCTTAGCGATGGATTAAAGAAGTGAAATAAGATCTAATATGTGTGGCAAATGGGGAAGATTTCCCGAAAGACGGACGCCTTACGTATTGACTATTTACATTCAGTCTGAGGTTAAGCAATTTATTATGATATCTCTTGTATTTTTTTTTGCTTTAAAAGTGTTCGCACCTTACCCGTGCAATGTATAGTACCTGAAAGTTAGACCAACTGAAGGAAGAATTGAAAAGAAGAGGTGCATCCTGCAGTAGTCCTGATCGCCTGATTGACTTATGGATCAACACACAGCCTAAATCACTGGTCGTATAAACATGAAATTTATAGCACGTATTCCTACGCTGGGTACACACCGATCCAACGAACGCCAACGAAGGATATTCAGCGTTGGCTGCCGCACGTTCGTTGGCCTTCGAAGGTACGTCGAAATACATGTAGAGGTCGAGCAAACGTTCGTTGGCACCTGATTCCGGCTTGCATTCGCAATTTGATCATGGATGACGACGAAATAATTATAATTGCTAGTAAAATGATTGCAGACTTACAAATAGAAAAAGAATATCGTTTATTTGATAACTTTAGCAGAATGTCTTTTCAGGATTTTAAATGATTGTTGAATGGTGTTGGACCTGAAAGAAGTTATAGTGAAGCAATCCGTTTGTTCGTTAGCCTTCGGAGACCGTCCACACTGAGTTCGATCTAATGGATCGATTCCTTTGATGTTACCGCCGCGCTTCGGATCGCAGGCACACGCTAACGAACGATCGTTGACGTTTGCTAAGACATCCAGACAGGGCCAACGAAACCCATTTATTGGCGTTCGTTGGGTCGGTGTGTACCTATCATTAAACGATGTAGGCATCCAACAAGAAAGATTTTTTTTAAATTCGTCCCTTAAGTGGGTAAAATAGGAGATTAAAGATTGTATGGAGCTCTGTCATGCTTAATGTGAAATACACAGAAAGTGGTGTTTAGCTTAAAGATAAAAAATAAGAAAAAAATATTCATTTGTTTTTTTTTGAAATTAACCCTTAAAAGGGTCAAAGGGGGTAATAAAGTTTATATGGGCAAACAATTATTTATGATTCGAATTATTTCAAACTTGGTATTAATGCTTTTCAATACAATTAAATAAATATATGTTTTATCATTTTTAGAAATTCAATCCCATAAGGGGGTAAAACGGGGAATGAAAGTTTGTATGAAACTCTGTAATTAGGTAATATGTAAAAAACTACAAAACATAAAAAAATGTTTTCACCTGTAGACCATTTAAGAGTTTTAAAATCACTTGCATTCATTTTAAAAATGATGTACACATAGCCTTAAATATAAAGACTGTGATTTCGCCAATTTTGTCGCCTTATTGCTTTAGCCTACAGTTTCTTCAGTTTTTGTCTTTTGAGAACAAATGATATCCATCTTCTTTGCATCCTTGCATTGTACAATTTGACATTTTAATTCATTCAATTTTAAATAAAATAAAAAAATCCATCTACGCTATAGAGCTTTACAATATACTGAGGGCCATAGAGATCGCGACATCTGCCGGCATAAAACCAAAATTCTTCCTCTTTAAAAATTAAATAGGTATTTCGTAAAAACTTAAGTAAATATTTTATTTTGAAAATTTTCATTGCAGAGAATGATTGTTTAAAATTCTAAACAGGTTCTACTACATTTTAAGAATAAGTACTATTTAAATTATGAAAATATATATATATATATATATATATATTATATATATATATATAATAATATACACACATAAAGAACATAAATTTATCACTAGTATACAAAGTGTAAGAAGAATAAGACAAAAGAAATATATTATACATCAAAAATATATTAAGTATCATTTAATTTCCCATTTTGGAACAATGATGGAGTTTGAGACTAATAAAAAAAATCTAATATATAAACTTAGACTAACTTCATTCATTTCATATTTATGATGTTCCTTCTCAAAGTATGAAATACACCACAGATAAATAATTGTTTCTTAATTTATTAGGTACTTTTCGAGTTTCGACTCTGCTTTGCTGTCTCGTTGGGTGAACGAATGATGGATGGATGTGAGTTCATGAGTTGACAGGCAACAAAAATTGCGGCGTGGATTAATGGTTAAAAAATTAATAGATACTAGCTGTTGCTTGTTTTATATTTTATTTATTATACGAAAATCTATCGTAAGAGATAATACCGCAGTATTTGGTCACGTTTAAAGTTGTATGTGTCAATATAATGACTGATAATTTAAAAGTTTTGAGACAAAGTTTATGCATATCATTGTGTTTAGCGCCTAGCCGCGGGTTTTCCGTATTAAGTGTGTTATAGCGAAGGCTGAGAACTTCATGGAAATGGTGCCGTCAATTTTAGTTCATTTAAGATCAACAGAGAACTATATTTTTTCGTGAAAAATATAAACTTTGTGTAGTTTAGTGACAGGATGTACCCGACGCCGACGCGGCACCCGGCGGGCGCAGTTAGGGTTTGTATTATTTTTCTGTCTTACTTAGCTTTTGATCGCAAACGCGATTTCTCAGGACGCTTATTGTTAAAAATCATGGAGATTCGTGCTACATAGATAATTCTGCAGATTTTTTAAATTATTTATTTCCAGGGACCGCAGCCTGCGGCTGGTCCAATAAAGTTTACTATAGCGGATACTTTAGAACGTATAAAAGAGGAATTTAACTTTTTACAAGCACAATATCACCAGTAAGTATAGTTTAAACTTTAAAACACCTTTTTACTTTGTCACTATTTGCTTAATCTAATATTTGTGCATATTTATATTACTTTCTAGTACATTAAGAGGCTATTTATATTTGTGAAAGTCTATTTACATATGATTATAGTTTATATTATAAATCACCATAAAATTTTTCAGATTAAAATTAGAATGTGAAAAGTTGGCCAGTGAAAAAACTGAAATGCAGAGACACTATGTGATGGTATACTTTTAAATTATTCCTAGCTAAATATTACTACAGTACTACATAATCCAGTTTTAAGCAATCAGACAATTTTGTTTTTCAGTATTATGAAATGTCATATGGCCTCAATGTTGAAATGCATAAACAGGTGTGTATTCACATTATTTGATTACTTTGTATTATGTGTAAGCATTATGTGCTTATTTAATTAAAAATTCTTTAAAATAATTATTTTGTATATCTCATGTAATTAAAATTCCTAATGTGGTGATTGTACTTAATATATGTACATATATTTTATAAAGGATATTATTATCAACTTTATAAAATTGTTCACCTATTCAAACAGAATTGAATACATTCTTTTATATTCCTGTAGCCAAACAACATATTTTATTTAACCTTATATAAAACGATGGATGATATTAAAAGTTTATATATATATATATTTTTAGACGGAGATAGCAAAACGACTTAGTGCAATTATTGGACAAGTGCTGCCATTTCTGGCCCAAGAGCACCAACAACAAGTCGCCTCAGCGGTGGAGAGAGCCAAGCAGGTCACTATGTCTGAACTTAATGCTATTATTGGGGTAAGATTCATTTAAAACTCAAATCAAAGCTGGGAAATAAATTGTACAGTAAATGAAATTTAAAATTTGTTCTAGTTTTTGGGATTGTTTGTTTTTATTTATATAATAATATAGGTATTCCATGATAAAATAAGAATAGGAATAAATATGACAAAAAATAAAAAGGACTGTCTGTCTGTATACACCTTTCATTATTAGATATTTGTAGTGTAATTTTCTCTTTGTGCTTTTCCATTCAAGTTAACATGGAATATCTACACTCATTTCAGAATTAAACAATATATGAGCTATTCTTTTCTGCTGAAGTGTACATTGATTTAAAAAATTTTAAAGTACTAAATATATATTGTCTCTGTTCAAATGTAATTTAATTCTATTATGAGTGTGATATGGAGTTGCTATTTGATGTCAACTATACTTGGAACTTCGTATCTGCTATTTTAAAAAGAGAAGTTTTTCTAAATTGTAACTAAAACAAAACTCAGCATCAATTTCTTTAATGTTGTCCGCAGCAACAACAACAACAAGGCCTCCAGCAACTCCTTGTAAGTGACAACATTATTGTTGTGCTTGGTTTTTTTTTGTTGTTTGTGATTAACACCAATCATTTTTTAATAGGCACAAATATATTTTTTTATAATGAATCAATTTACTTATATTTTATTTTCATTAAGGCATCAGTTAAATTTTTTATTGCTGATTAAAGTAGATTAGATAAAAATTATTCATGTTTACATACTCTTAATAAGATAGTGTTAAATGTACTGTAAACATAATAAAACAATGAGACGATGATTTTTCATTTGATGTCAACTAGCTGATAAAAACTATAGGTTATTGTAGATATTTGTACAGTACAGGTTCTGGCCCTATGATATATTTTATTAAATATTATTTGCAATGTATTATTTCTTAATAAAATAGGAATTTATATTTTTAAAATTACATAATTTGTAACTATATAGCCTAGGCTGTATGTACATAGACCTTAATCTAAAGACTAAACAAACTAGTTAAAAAAAGTTTCTTGGTCATCTTAATGAGCTGATATGACCTAATTAGTTTTAAAATTGTGAAATACTTGTTTTCCTCCTTATAAATAGGATGTATTTCTGTTCCTACTTTGTGTTCTTTGAATATCAGGAAATACATATGCTATTTTTGAAATGGACTATATTTATAACAAAAATTACATCGTCATCTAAGAAACCAGTTGTACAATTTTATTAGAATTTTATTAAAAACTAATCAACTTTTTTATTGTCTCTAACTTTTACATTTCAATTAATTTTAGCACTATCGACTTGTAGTTACTGTGGCTTATTCTGCACATTATGGTTTTTTGTATGCGATAATTTGTATTTTATAGATTTACATACATATATATTGACTCATTTTTTTGAACGTCGTTGGACTATTAGTAATTTTTGGTTATTAAAACAAAAAATATGGCATAAAATTGTTATTTATATTGATCATTCATATAAAGGGATGAGGGAGAATCTAACATTTTTTTCATTTATTGGCTTGGGGGTTTCAAAATTGGTATAAAATAATATATTTTTGAGTTAAATATCTATTACATATGTTTCTAGAATAAGTAAAGACAATAGATATTACATTTTTCAGTTGTAATTACACATAAAAAAAACAGTAAAATAACTGATTTGCTGACATCAAATATTATAATTAATTTACTAATAGAAATGTTCAATTTTCATTTATTTCATATATTTCATTACATACATTTTAATTAGCAATATTAAAGTGTTTTTTAAATAATATAATACATACATAACACTTGATATGTTTAATTTGTTTTGTGGTTTTAAGTTTTCCTTAAAATCAATCATTAGCATTTGAAATGACCACATGATTAAGTGTGTGGAAAACAATTATTTTAATTGTATGTTAATACATATTAGCATGAACGTTATTCTACACTAATATTATATTATGAAACAGAATGTTTTTGCAAGTTGCAATAGCTTAAAGTTTATTACTATGGTTAGATGGATATCCCACGGGAACCATACATTTTTCCTGGATAAAAAGTAACCTATGTGCTATTCCAGACTATAATCTATATCTGTGCCAAACTTCATCCAGATCCGTTCAGGCTTCTGGCATGATTGAGTAACAAACATCCATCCATCTAAACACATTTATAATATTTATGGAATGGGATTAACAGGCAGATTTTTATTCTACTAAGTTGAAAGGCAAAATATGTGAATATAGCACTCATTACTGCTATTTTATACCTTCATAATGGGATAGATTACGCATGAATAAATTTCATTTTCGATTTTAATGAGAATTCTTTTTTTTCCATAAGATGTAGTTTTTTAGTTATATATTTTGTTAGATAATGGTTAAAAAAGTTAGAATTTTACGCATATTATAGTTGTAAAAAACGAATAAACACTTTCAAACGTCAAATTAATTAAATGAGCACATACTTGAATCCACCCGGTTACATAATAATTCAGCTTGATTGTATCAAACTATAATTTAAGCAAATTTTAGAAATCGGAATGGTGCAATTTTATTATCATCATCTCGATTTCTAAGATTTGATTGCATTATTACAAGTAAAACTAATAATAACTTTAAAACTTATCATTTTAAGAATATTCGTAATAAAATTAACATGTATCAGATATGATGGGGATTTTTTCATACTATTTATATATGAATGTTTATAATTATAAACATTTGTCAACAGCAACAGATACACGCGTCGGCCGGTCTGCCGCACGGCGTGGGGGGTGCGGGGGCGTTGTTAGGGGCAGGTGGTCTGTTGTTCCCCGGGGGACCACCTCCCACCCCTCATTTGCCACCCCCGGCCCATAAGGTATGAAGGTTTTGAATGATGTTATTTTTTTTGTTTTTAACACTAAATAACAATATTTTGTATATTGTAAATATCACTCATAAATCCACCAGTAACCAAAAAGTCCTTTAATCATATAATACAAAGTGGCATACATACTTTTTACTTATACATTATTATCCATTTATTCAATTTTTTTCTTATAACTCAATTATATGATATAACCCCTCTATATATAATATATAACCCCTCCTATTGTACAGTGATGACACTATATTAGAAATTTCCATGGGCTACATAAAATTTCATCATGTTTTAACGGTTAAAATGAAATACAAATCATTGAATTTCTCGGCTTGACTGTAAAATGCATGTATTATACATATTAACCTTTCTCTATTGCTGAAAACTGCATTAAAATCCGTTGAGTAGTGTAAAAGATCTAAGCGACCAGACAGAGGAAGCAACTTCATTTTATACTATGAAAAGAATATGTATAAAATCAAATGTTCCCAGGTGGAACTTCCGCCCCCATCAGACATAAAGCCTCCAGTGCTACCGGGCGGGCCGGCCCCCCCACCGCTACTGCCAGGACAACCGCCTTCCCGTGAGGATGATCGGATGTCTTCCAGAGTTATGAGCCAACAGGTCAGAACAAAGATTTTTTATTTCATTTCCGTACTAAAAAGTTGTGATGAGATCCTATTATTATAGAATACTAGCGACTCACCCTCGCTCCGCTCGGGTTTATCCCTAGGATGGACCACCCTTATCACTTAGGGGTATGAAAAATAGTTGACTTCCTATTCTCAGACCTACTGAATATGCACACAAAATTTCAAAAGAATCGGTCAAGCCGTTTCAGACGAGTTTTGTTACAAACACTGACACGAGAATTTTATATATTATAGATAATATAAGTAAAACAAAATATTGTTTGTATTGCTATATTGTAAACAAATATTACTCAGGTGGCAGATTTCTCGTTGACATACTGACATTCAATTTAAATGTATAAAGTGATGATTCCAAAGTGATTGTAAAAGTTTATTTTAATAAAGTATATTTTAAATATTTTTCAATCTGATTTGGTTACTTTGTCTATCCATCTGTATGTTCTACGTTTAGAAAAATTTGATCTCTTAAACCATAACAAGTTCGTCTTTAACAAAATATGCGTTTTTGTAATATGGAGTGATTTTTTGATAAGGGTTTATTTACTGTTATATGCATTGCATCTTTTACATTACACAAAAATTAAACTTTTGAGTTTAATTCAACTGATAATACCAAAAGGAAAAGTAGTAAAATCTAATCAGTAATTTAAATGCAAAAGTTTGTATGTGTATGTTTGTTATACCTTCACCCTGAAACGGCTGCACGGATGTGGATAAAATTTAGTACAAAGACACAATGAGTGGAGTAATATATAGAGTTTTTAGTGAACCGTAAAATTCATAAGATTCTATTAATTTCGTTAAACAATTCGTAAACATAATTCATTATTTACAATTTAAATCTATACAGATAAATAAAATTGAAGTGTCTGTTTGTAATGTCAAAATAGCAGCGTATACTTACTAAATGCTAATGAAATTATATACGGTACTTATAAGACACACAATTTTTAAAAATATTGTCTGTCTGTCTGTTTGTTTCTTCCGGATAATCTCTGAAACGGCTAGACTGATTTTGACGGGACTTTCACTGGAAAATAGCTGATGTTATAGGGAGTAACATAGGCTACTTTTATTTTAGAAAAAGAATTAGGGTTCCTCTCAAAAAAAATAAAACCTACTTAGGGACGAACCCGAGCGAAGCGAGAGTGAGTAGCTAGTTAATTAAACAATCCGTAAATATAATTCATTATTTACAATTTAAATTATAATAATAAATTCGTACAAAAAACAGCAAAGACGGTCAGTGTCACCACACGAGCGCGAACAAAAGTACCGCCCGCGCTCGCCCGAGCCGGAGGCGCTCGATGCGAAGCGCAGGAAAGAAGAGAAGGTACTGGGCCATGTGAGTCTATGTAGTGTATGTGTCGCTTGTCCTACGTTTGTATGTATTACCTACTGCTTCTGTTCACTGCTTCACGGCTGGAGTGGCTTGTCTTGCTTTTTGACGTTTGACAGTTGTTTGACATTGACATTTAGTTGACGTTTTTTTTTATTAATTTTGTACGGCATTGGCACGGTAATGTTATACATACATTACCGTGGCCCAGTGAAGTAATATTTAACGTGATTCAAGTTTTTTTTTTTCATTTTACATTTTCAATGTCGTTGTAGGTTTAATTGAGGTTTTTTTGTTATGATGTAATGTTAGTGTAAAATGTTACATGACTGCTGTAACTGTAGGTATTTGTGCTATGAACTCATTTACTTTTAGTTGTTTTTTATTTTCTTCGTAGTTTATTTTAATATTGATTGATTGTCATTCTTGAATGATTACCCATTTTTATGTAGCTTCAAATTTATATAATAAATAATAAGCCTTTTCTAATTATTTTTACAGTAGTTAACTAGTTAGTAGTAAGGACTTAATGTTTGTGTGGTTCCCGTTAACTATAATGAAGATATAACACCTAAGAATTTACACTTGCAAAGTTAAAATAAGCGTTTTTGCCTATAATTCTCTATATAAATAATCATGGGATTTTTTTTAATGTTGAAATTCATTTCCATCTGAATCTGAACATATATTTATTGATTTATGTTTTACATTAACTTAACTTTGCGTCTTTCACGTTCAAAGTAATTTTTACATTATAACGACTTGTCATTCCATACAATCAGCCGCCTCATCTCCAGCTTAGTAAATGCTTTACAAAATGTCATTCATATATTTGCTCCATTTTCCATCGCTGTTGTCAATAAATCGCTTAAATTTGAATAATAAAATTAGTGTTTTGATAATTTTTTCTAAAGAAAATATTATATATTTTAGGATAGTGATGCGGAAAAAAGCGACCAAGATCTAGTTGTTGATGTAGCTAACGAGGTAAGATTACGTACTTTGTTTGATCATTTTAAAGGATATCTTAAGACCTAAGTGTTAAGGCTTCATTTCTGCCACCGAATAACGAAAAAAATTATCTATGTCATACGATAATACTTTCTTAGATTTATGCGAATATTTAACATTTTAAATAAAACTATCTTTTCGGGTTTATTTGCGGGTTTATTTTGATTTTTGGTTCCCGACGTTTCGAATGCTTTACAACACTCATGGTCGCGGGAGAGACTAAGATATAACGCCTTTTATTAGTATTTGTATAGGTAGTCATTAGTATGTAGTATTTTTTGCTTTCATAAATATTCTTTCTTATCAGGCACTAAGTGTAGTTTCAGAATATGTAAAAGAAAGATTAAATGTATGACATAATTTTTTTCGTTATTCGGGGGCGAACATGAGGCCTTATCGACCTTATATACCTTCCTTTGGTTACTTATTTTTAGACTAAAAGTATAAGGTAGTTAAATCGTGAAGAACAAACTAATTGAGGCCTGATATGGTATTTATTTGTAAGTTAAGGTAACTGAATTTGGTTTTTAATTTTGCTGTTTTATATTCTAATCTGTCTTGTTTTTTTTAATATTGAGTTAATCTTTATATTAAAATAATCCTGTCCCATTATATAGATTCTGTAGGTGGGTTGTAGTTTATATATGTATAGTATGTCACCAGTCGCAAAAGATGTTTTTGTGTAACATATACATATTTTATTCGTCTTTCAATAAAGTTTAAGAATGTTTATTTATACTAATATTATAAAGAAGATAGATTTTTTGTTTGTTTGTTTGTTTGTTTGTTTGTTTGTTTGTTTGTTTGTACGGAATAAGCTCTGAAACTACTGAACCGATTTAGATGAAATTTGGTAAAAAGGCAGTTTGAGACCTTGGGAAAGACATAGGTTAATTTTAATCCCGGAAATCATCCCTTAAGGGGGTAAAAATGGGGATGAAAGTTTGTGTGGGTAAGCAACCTAGGGACGATCCCGAGCGAAGCGAGGGTGGGTGGGTTAATCGCTAGTTCTTTTATATTTTCAACAGATTTAAAAATGTCATCTAGTTGTTTTATAGAATAATCAAATTATACTGGCCAGTGTTTAACAGATTAAAGAAGACAACCACTACGGAAATTCTGAGCAAATTTACCCATTAATACTGATCTACATTACTTCTAAGTAACAAACATATTCATTTAGCGCACAAAATAAGTATATTTAATTTAATTGGGAACTATGGTAATGGCTATAAACTGAGCTGGAATTATTTTCACAGTTCATTTTGCATTTCAGAAGTTAGCTAAAAATGAGCCAGATTGCTATAACAAATGGAGAAATATAATTCAAGTATACATATAATTTTAATAATAACAATATTTAAAGGAGGACAGAGGATATCAAAGTGTCCGTAAATAATAATTAAATAATACCTATTTACTTATTATTTTATATAATATAATAATATAATGATATTTATATAATAATAAGAATAATATATTAATATACACTACACTAGCGACTCACCCTCGCTCCGCTCGGGTTCGTCTCTACTTACGTTTTAACGTTTAGTATAGATTTCTCAAAGATGAGAAATTTTCCCGCAGTAAAAAGTATCCTATATGTTGACCCGGAGAACCAGCTATTATCATACCAAATTTCATCAAAATCCCTCCAGTGGTTTTTTCGTTATGCTGTCACAGACAGAAATTCTAAAAAGTATAGATTCGGCCTTTATATCGATAATAATGTCTATTTCAATAAGATTTAAAAAAAAAATTAGTTAATGTACAAATTCGACTTAGTTACAATAATATTATTATACCTAATATGTATAGATATAATTGTCTTCCGAGCCGGTGGTAGATTCCGCACGGACTTACTGGCATTCGGTCTTACAAATATAAAAATTGAGGTTTAAAAAGTCCTTTGGCTTAACAATTTAAAATAAAACTATCTTTTCGGATTTTTCGCGAGTATATTCTGATTTTTGATTTTCTGACGTTTCGAATGATTTGCAGCAATGGTCACGGGAGAGACCATCTGTCAATGAAAATAAATCTTCGAAAAAATCCAAAAACATAATATTATTTAAGAATCTTAAGGGCGCACCGAGGCAATTACGAAATAATTTGCGTTCGTTTGATCCCTTGCTCTACCTATTGTTATTACTAAAACTTTAATTATGTAATTAATGTGTAATATATTTAAGGTTTTATTGTATAAATCGTTTACTTTAAAAACACGATTACTTGTAGTTTCCTCAATAGAAAAAAATCCAAAAGGATCTCTAAAAAACAAAATAAACCCATAGTGCGGCGTAAATATATAATTCAAGGAAGCTCATCAGTTTTTTAATAATAACAAAACTATACGTTTTATATATCGTATACACTTTACATTTTCAAAATGTGTATTTGTTTTAATAATACGAAGGAAAACTCCCCTTCCCCCTAAAATAAAAAGCTCTGTGCTCTCTTAAATATTCCCGTAAATCTAATAATGTATGCTTTAATAATAATAATATTTGAAGGAGGATAGAGGATCGCCAAGTGTTCGGACGGATGGCGGTGATAGGACTGAGAACGGGCCGCGGCCTCCCTCACGGTCGGGTTCCTCCTCCAGCAGGTCTACGCCGAAGAGTTCGAAGGATGTGAGTTAATAATATTTACTTTTTAAACGAATTCCAAAAAGGAGGATCTATGTGTGTTTGTCATGTATTTTTTGACAATGATTTTAAATATTCAATAGGTAAATATAAAATATAAATAAATATGTTGGGACATTAATACACAGCACCATCTAATTCCAAGGTAAGCTACGAGGGTTGTGTTATGGATACCAGATAGTTGATACACTACACATACATATATAACTTTATATATATATACATATTATAAATATAAACACCCAAGCCTGGAGTACAAATATCCGTGCTCATCATACAAATGAATGCCCCCAGCGGGACTCGAACCCGCGACCTGGCACAGCAAGTGGTAGTACAAATTGAGCCAAAGGTATCGTCAAAATAATGAATATCACAAGATATGAACTCTAATTATAGTTAGAATATTATACATTAATTTGTGATGCATTTATATTTTATACATATCGAAATACATTTGTTTTGCTTTGTCTCGGCTGACATCGACTTTGAAAATATCTGATTAGGTTACATTACGTTACGTTACGGTTAGGTGGTTACGGTTATACCGTACCCCCGTTGTTTTTTAGTGTTTAGAAATAGGTTTTAATAATTATTATTATTTTTACTTTTTAGTGTCTGGACGTCGGTTTAAATCTTTTCCTTAAAAAGTTTTTATTATATTAAGTGGTACATTGACTTTAAAATCACTTGGATATTTACATTATTACAAGCGTCTCACGCTCCCTTCGCTCGGGTTCATCCCTAAGTACGTTTTAATTCTTTTGAGAAGTACCATATATAATCCCATATGCATTTACTATTTAGTAAAAAGCTGTTATTTTGACATTACAAACAGACACCAAAATATTGATTTATCTTTATAGATATTTTTCCGTTTCACGTACGAAAGCAAACAAAACAACAATCTATCTCCACAGGAGAAGCCAGGCACCCCCGGCGCCAAGAACCGCGCGCCGACGCCCACGGGGCGCTACGCCTTCCCGCCCTACGCCGCCTACCGCCCGCCGCTGCCCTACGACGGGCCCCTCGCCAGGACTAACGGCATACCGCCTTCTAAACCGTGAGTATTCAAGGAAATATTATTTATAATGATTAATTATTTTATAGAAGGCTAGCATTGCCCGCGGCTCCGCCCGTTCAGATGATCAAAAACCAAATTGTTAGGTTTTACATATTAGTATACTCTTATATTGCTTGTTTTTGTATTTTTTTTCAGAAATGAGATATTTTCCCGCGGTAAAAAGTATCACCATACCAGCTATCACCATACCAAATTTCATCGAAATCCCTCCAGTGGTTTTTCCGTGATGCGGTAACAGACAGACAGACAAAAATTCTAAAAACTATAGATTCGGCCTCTGTATCGATAATAATGTCTATTTTCATAAGATTTTCCAAAAAAAAAATGATTGTGCAGATTCGGCTTAGTTAGAATTTTATTATATGTATAGACTAGCGGCTAGGTAGATACCTTTTAACATTTAGTATGGAGTAGATTAATTATATAATAAAACTAGCACAAGAACTAGAAAAGCACAAACAGGTCTATTCGGTCTTTTCTGGGATAAAAAGTAACTTGATGTTTGACCGGCAATATAAATTAGATGTATATGTTGTTGTTTACTAAACTGTATAAGTACTATAGTTTTTGAATTATCCCACGGGAACTCTTTAATTTTCCGGCATGAAAACCTTAAATCGGTCCAACAATTTCGGAGATTAACCTGTACAAACATACAGAAACAAAAAATATCTGGATTTGTTCTATTTCTCTTCTTACATCCCCCTGATTCGTTTTTTAACATTTTTTTCTATGTACAGACATTCGACCTCTACAGTTTTATTAGATGTATAGGTTAAACAGTATATACCAATGCAGTATATACTATGCTAATTTTAATGAAGTTTAGCAATTTTTACATAGAATTTCGTTATTTTGTTATCGTAAAAAAAACGTAGAATTATGTAAAATTGAATATTTTGTAGTTATAGTGCCGCTATCTAGTGGTTTGTTTTTGCAAAACTGTAGCTAATGACACATAGAACCTTGTAGCATTTATAACTAAATAAGTACTAAAATTGTAACATAGAACCTTGTAACAGTGAGCTAACGAATTATGTACCAATAATTCGTATTATATTTCAGGCCATACTCGTACCACACGTGCGGCGGGCCGCTGCAGCCGGTGCCGTTCCCGGCGGACGCGCTGGCGGGCCCCGGCGTGCCGCGCGCCGCGCGCCCGGTGGCGGCGCTGCCGCACGGCGAGGTGGTGTGCGCCGTGGCGCTGTCGCTGGCCGGCGCCGCGCGCCACGCCTACACCGGCGGCAAGGGCTGCGTCAAGCTGTGGGACATCACCAACCCCGGGGCGCCCGCCACCTTGGAGCCGCTGTCGCAGTTGGACTGTTTGGTATGTTGGTTTGTTCGGTTCAACTAGAGTTTTATAATATACTAGCGACTCACCCTCGCTGCGCTCGCGTTCGTCCCTAGCTTGATTCCCGATACAAACTTTCATCCCGATTTTCACACCCTTAAGGAATGATTTCCGGGATAAAAAGTATCCTATGTCCTTCCCAGGGCCTCAAACTATCTTCTTACCAAATTTCATCTAAATCAGTTCATTAGATCCAGAGATTACCCACAACGTCACAAACTCACAATCTCACAAAAACTTTACCTCTTTATATATTAGTATAGATAGATGTCGAATTGCTTTTTGAAGTAAAACTTCTTTACGCACGCTTGACTTGGAAGTAAGCTGGGTGAATGCGTTACGAAAAAATGTACGTACATTTGTTGCCATGGTAACCGTTCACATTGTCTGACAAATTATATACATATAATATAATATTCTTCCCTTAAATGATATTCTATAAATATATGATTTTAATATGCCTAATATGCGTTACTTTTAGTATCTCACCTACCCTAATTATTTAAAACATAAATTGAATTTCATAAAGAGTACCGATAACCTACAGAAGTTTTACTTCTTGCGCGTGTATATATTCATACACGCACTCTTTAAAAAAAATTCTAGAATTTGCTCAGTTCAGTTAGTTGTCTTTTTCATTTATAATATTCCCACACTCGCTCTTCTTGATCTTCATTATAAAATATCACTCTATATCCAAAGTAATATTATAAATGCGTAAGTAACTCTGTCTGTTTGTCTGTTATGTTTTCACGCCTAAACCAAAATCAATTTTAATGAATTTTGGTATATAGATAGATGGGACCTTGAAGGAGGACATATGTTACTTTTTATGCCTAAAATAAAACTTGAAGGGCAGAATGGAAGCACTATAATTTTTAAATATATTTTTATATAAATTTTGTATAAAAATTCTTTTTATATAAAATCTATATAAAAATGGTGAAATGTTACTGAAAATGTCTCATTTTGAATGAAAATCTCAGAACAAAGTTTGGCATCTCACAAGAAGTATTTGTTGTAGTGTTTCTTTTCTGATAAATATATTATAAATATATAGTCTACTTTCAGAATATGTAAAGAAAAAGCTAAATAGTATGATTTAATGTTTTTCGTTCTTCTGAGACGGAAATGAAGCCTTATCGATACCCTTCCTATATTGATAAATTGAAAATTGTATAAAAAATGTGTGAAAATTAGACTTGCAACGAATATTCGGCTATTATGCAGCCGAATACCGAATATTTAAGTAATATGTTTTGATGTAATAAGCTAATTGGTAAAATTTTCATTCTACCAATTATATTGATTTATTTTATAATAATATATTTTTCTTATAGTAATTAGTCATAGGTACATAATCAAGTTCTGTATTACAAAAATGAACTAAAAACAAATTTATATGCATTACCATAATTGAAATTTAGTAGAGACGATCCCAGCTTCAGAGAAAAGGCGCTCTGAATCAATACTACTTCCTGGCGCCAAAAAACATACATGTCGATACAAGATCTTCCGCCAAAAGTTTGCCCTGGCCGAATATTTTTGCTTAATATTCGGCTATTCGGAAAGCTCGCCGATTATTCGGTATTTGGCGTATAGCCGTATATACTATTTGTTGCAAGTCTAGTAATAATATTAACACTTTTGAATAAGAAAACGTATTCCACTTGCCTTATCATCCTGTGCCAAAATATTCCGAGTAAATTTTAATAAATATAAAATAAAGCAATAAAAATGTGTATATTCCAGCAAAGAGACAACTACATCAGATCAGTGAAGCTGCTGCCCGACGGGCGCACGCTGCTGGTGGGCGGCGAGGCGTCCAACCTCTCCATATGGGACCTGTCGGCGCCCACGCCGCGCATGCGCGCCGAGCTCACCTCCTCCGCGCCCGCCTGCTACGCGCTCGCCATCAGCCCCGACTCCAAGGTACCTGCATACGTACGGGTGGTTATGTGGGGTTTTAATTATATATACGAAAATATAGTTTTATTTAAAATGTCAAATATGCGCGTAAATATAAGAAAGTGTTATGGTTATGTGGGTCTCACCGGCTATGAAAGCAATAGTGCTAATAAACCCAATAAATAAGAAAATCATTCACCTTGTATAAAGAATGACCCACTAACTATAATATTTTATTTTATGTAAGGAGCTAATGAGCTGCATGTTCACTTGATAGTAAGTATATACTAGTGATACGTGATCTGACGACACGTTTGGCTAAGTTTGTAGTGCCAGCTGTGCCAGCGGTCGCGGGTTTGAGTCCCGCTGATGGCATTCATTTGTGTGATGTACACGAATGTTTGTACTCCATTTATGGGTGTTTATATTTATAATATGTATGTGTTTAAAATTATAATATATATGTAGTTTTTCAACTATGGTATCCATAACACAAGCCTCATAGCTTACCATGGAACTAGATTGTGCTGTGTGTTAATGTCCCAACATATTTATTAACACATGAATTAACTTATGGTGCATGAGATCAATGAAAATTATTATCGTCGGTAATGAATGTATATGTATGCACGTTCTGACTCTGGACTCCAATGGAGATCTAAATATACTCCTTGGTAATCGGTGGTGAAGTGCTTAACTTCTCCATTTGTTTGTTTACAATTGGAAACATTTTAAATTTTAAACTAATGGTTTGTCATCGTCTTTGTATTGTGGTGTTACAGGTATGTTTCAGTTGCTGTTCAGATGGCAATATAGCTGTTTGGGATCTTCATAATCAAACTTTAGTTAGACAATTCCAAGGTAAGAATTATTTTAAATATATATGTATATTATTTCTACAATAATAGTGCGAATATTTAGACAATATTGTCTTTAAAATGTTAGTACATAATAATCAGATACTTAAAATACCATAAAGTGTTAATTCAACATAATCTTCAATTCAATTTTCTTATTTATGGCTTCAAAAAATGACATTTGAGTACAGATTACATATAATTTTTCACATACAATGAAGAAGAAACCAGGGATATTAGTTGGTAAATAAAAAAATACATATATTGATGATTTTCATATAAAATAATGTCCTCCTGACTGGGTCTCTTAAATCTCACTGAGTATATTGCACAAGTATGGATACAAACACAACATGGTCGTCTAATTGACACCCTTGGTAAGAAATCAGGCGAAGACAATAACCGAAACTTTCTAACTAAACTTGACCCAACCCGAGACTCGAACCCAGGAAAATGAGAAAAAAAGAGATGATAAACTTTCTTAGATTTACGCGAATATTTGACATTTTAAATAAAACTATCTTTTCGGATTTTATTTAAGACTTGCGTATATTTTTCCCGGATAAAAGTAACCTATGTGCTATTCCAGACTATAATCTATCTCTGTGTCTTTCATCCAGAATCATTCAGCCGTTCTGGCGTGATTGAGTGACAAACATCCATCCATCCAAACTTTCGTATTTATAATATTAACTAACGACACACCCTCGCTTCGCACAGGTTCGTCCCTATGTACGTTTTAACAGTTAGTATGGGATACCTATCTAGTTCTACCTAGAACTAGACTAACATCCTGAGTTGTTGTAGGTTGTATTATATCGTGTTTTCCCATGGGAATGTGATAATCTTCCGTGGTAAAAGTAGCCTATATCACCCTCCAGCCCTCCAGATAAACAAAAAAACAAACTAACACACTTTCACATTTATAATATTAGAAACAGTTACTAGTTTTTCACCGGTTGCCGTGTTGACAGTTCTTCTCAGGTCTGAGGCTTCTTCTTTCCGAACTGGTAGTAGACTCATTACGTTCAGTAAAAAATTGAAATAATTGCTGCTATTTAATGCCGAATAAAATATTTTGAATTTTAATATACCAGGACACACGGACGGCGCATCCTGTATAGACATCAGCCCGGACGGCACGCGGCTGTGGACGGGCGGGCTCGACAACACGGTGCGTTCGTGGGACCTACGCGAGGGTAGGCAGCTGCACCAGCATGACTTCAGCAGTCAGATATTCTCTCTTGGATATTGTCCGACAGGTGACAACCCTATTTACTCATATATATTTAGCCACTAAAATATTCTATATGAAATATTGTGTTTATGATATTGCCTATGAATTTTGCCTTTGTGTATAATTAGCGATATACCCTCGCTTCGCTTGGGCATCCCTAAATGTCTTGCAGTAGCCTATGTGTTACTCCAGTCCATAGTTAATCCTTGTAGGATTAGGGAATATGCGTGATTTTTTAAATTTTTTTATACAATAGATTATATAATTGATAAAAAAATAACCAGCTCAAAAAACAAATTTAGTATATTTTTTTTTAAATATCATACCGATACGGATACTTTAAACGCCCGCCATTTCGCGCGCTTGACGTGACAACTAACTATCATACAGAACAATGACGACATTAGTTTGTAGCGACAAAATCGCTAATCGCTCTTTAGGATAATACTTTGACGTCACATTCGGTCTGACCAATGGCGTGCGTTTCAATTACTTTGAATCAAAAAGAAATTAGATTAAAAAATATTGATATACGCTTAATTCGAAAGCAAAAAATATTATAAAAATAATATTTTACCTTTATTTAAATCACATGCATATTCCCCATTTCATTGAAATCCGGCCAGCCGCTTCAGCTAATATATGTAAATATGTGTAAATGTATGAACATACAAACTTTCACATATTTAATAATAGTCTAATATCAATATATTCGCTAATAATATTATTTATATCAGGTTCCTGGCTAGCAGTAGGCATGGAGAACTCCCACGTGGAAGTCCTCCATGCGGGCAAACCCGACAGATACCAGCTAGTGTTACACGAGTCCTGTGTACTGTCTCTCCGGTTCGCTGCATGTGGGAAGTGGTTTGTGTCTACGGGGAAGGATAACTTGCTCAACGCATGGAGAACTCCATACGGAGCTAGTATATTCCAGGTGAGAGACATAAATATGCGTAATATGCCAATAGTAATACTATTTACTAGACATCCTACAAAAACAAACAAACAATGAAAATAATATACAAATTAATCAACTCAACAAAAAAAGAACTTATCTTGTCTTAAAATTTATTTTATGATTTTTCTATTCATTAAGATTTAAAATAAATGAAAAAATACCCATATTCCTTAAAAAGTTTGCCTGATAATAAATAAATCCTTTTTCTTCTAGATACAAAAGCAAACTTTCTCAGGCCATATATTTTTGTCTTAACTTATTGATAAATAAATCGAAATTTCATACTCTCTTATTAATAAGAGAGTATGAAATTTCGATAGATTTTGTTAAGGAAATGTGGTTGAGAATGTAGACAAAAATTGTAAATGCTCTTATTTTTACTTAAATGGAGTTATTTATAAAAGTTTTAGTGATGTTAAAATATGAAGTTTTCAAAAGAGAGAGGGTACTCTGTTTGGTTATTAGTTGTTTGCGTAAGTTACGAGACATCTCAGCCAACTGTAAAGTATAGTTATTTAATCTGTATTTCTAGAATGTAAGTAAAGTTATTTAATCTGTGTTTCTAGAATTTAAGATTATAGATTTTATTTTTTGTTCACAGTCAAAAGAATCATCATCGGTGCTTAGTTGTGATATATCAGCGGACGATAAGTTTATAGTAACAGGTTCAGGGGACAAAAAAGCTACAGTGTACGAAGTTATGTACTAAAGTGGAATGAACGACACAAGTGATAATCTCAAAGGGTAATCTTGTGGTCCAGTGAAGGTTCTCCACGCAAGGGGCAGAATAAACGGTTAAATACTAAAAGCATTTTTATTTTAATAATAAGACCTTTTTGTAAATCGTGACTATACAATAAAATTTGTAAATAAAATTCTGAATAAATAAAGCTCAAAACATTTATTTTTATCAAACATCGTCATTTGTGTTTTTATTTATACTATCTTATTCCTATTAGAAGGCCACTTTCGGTTGAGATCCAAAGGGGAATTCCTCAATTGAAATAAACAAATATGTTTTCTTATTTCATGATTATTCCATTTTTCCACAATTTAATTCATGAGAACCACGTCTTATTCTTGTATAGTAAAGTCATAGTTTATTTGTGCATGCGAAATTTCGTCACGATAAGAAAAAGTTTTCACTTAATTACTTTCTTAGATTTATACTAATGTTTGCAATTTTTAAACAAAAAGCAAAACAATTTGCCAAAAAATCCGAAAAGCTGAATACATTTTTTTTAATTTAAACAAACGAGGGTCATACGATTTGTGTGCAGTAATTACATATTAGCTAAATTTAAATTGGTAACTATTATATTGAATCATGTGTAGCATTTCTATACAGGTAATGATTAAATCTCATTTATTAATTATTATTACAATTTACATATCTAATAAAAAGAATTGGGTAATATCAATGATATTTATTATTATTAATTACTAAGTGTAGGTAATTGTTATAGTATACCGGCTCGTAATTTACGATCAAAATCAATGTTTTACAAAGTAGACCGAATTTTGGAAAGAAGTCCTCCAAAAGTAAGATTTTTAAGTTTTTTAATATAAATTAGATACCTACTTAATATGTTATCATAGAGTATATTGCTGCTACATATAAAAATATGTTATCTATCTCTCTGACATTGACATCAGACGTACTAAACAAATAGTTGACGTTTGTATTTTGATATTGACGTGATCGGTCTGTGACCTGTCTAACAAATAAATATGCAACAACTCACAACTTTGTTTTAAATTGTACATTACAAAATAAAAAAATAATTGTTATTGCTCGCCTATGAAAATAAATATCTAAAATGGAGCAAACAAATCTGCTGGAGATAGTTCCAGAGCAACTTTTCCAGACATATTATATTAGTGATATAGACCAAGTGCAAAAGAAACTACAGTATGAAATTGAAAGAAAAAGAGAAGAATTACGAGCTATGGTGGGGTACGTATAAGTTTTAATCTTAAATATCGAATTACACATTAAATATTATGTATATGCATAGCCTAAACTTAAAGAATCATTAAAACATTCATTCATATTAATATAATTCTATTAAGATTTTATAATGGCACAAACTCTTTTATAATATTATTTTAAAGATAAATTGTATATTTTAGGGAAAGATACAGAGATCTTATCCATGCAGCAGATACAATTGAAGACATGAGAGGGACAATTGGAAGTACTTTGAGACATATCAATGAAATGATTGTTGCTTGTAAAAACTTACATGACACACACTTAGTAGGTTTTAAAATAGATGAAAGGCCCATGCAAAGTCACAGGTACTTTTTTGTAATTTATATACCTAAAGCTTTAATTTTAATAGATATTGGATATTTTATTTGTATACTAAAAAATTATTAAAAGTTTTCAGATAAACCCAGTCCAAGTAATATCTGTTCAAATAAAGCTATTAATGGATATACCAGAAAAGATCTGGAAGTGTATCAATGCAAATGACTTTGTGAAAGCTGCACAACTCTTTATTATGGCACGGCACATCAACACAGGTATTAATTGTCTAGTTGTCAGTTGATTTATGTATAGAGTAATCTTCTTCTTCTTCTTCTCGTGTCGATGGCAAGTTTTAAATGGAGTCAGCCCAAAACTCAGCCACAATCGTTGCTTTGTCAGTGGCGTCCATAAGCTCCTGTAAGCTGCAAGTAACAGGGCAAGCAGGGCAGGCCAGTAAGTGCCTCATCGTTTGTGGAACAGTACCACATCTACACTCCAGGCCGCCCGCTGAAAATCCCCACCTGGACAAGTTTTCCTTGCTTCGGCCAACCTGAGTCCGGAGTCTGTTGAGAGACTTCCAGGTCTGCCAAGGCAAACTATGTCCAGGCGCAAGATTCTCAGACGGTGGAACAAATGGGATTGGCAAAGGACCATAACTGTCCCGCCACATCCTGCATCTTGCCTGTGGTCGTTCATCTCCAAGTGGTAAGACACACTTCATAAAACTTTTACGGCTTTTTAGCCTTTGTGGCACCAGGATGTTGTCGTGCAAGGGGTGTCGCGTGTCTTGTTCCATTTTGGTCCTTTCACTGGAGCTCGCCACTGCTCTGCGCACTTTTGGAGGCGCAATTCCTGCCAGTGGGTACAGCATTGGTATCGGAGTCGGTTTCAAACAGCCAGTAATAATACGACACGTTTCGTTTAGTGCTGTATCCACTAGTTTTGCGTGGGAAGAGCGGCACCACACGGGGCACGCATATTCACCAGCAGCGAAGGAAACGGCCAACCCAGTAGTTCGCAGAACATCAGGCGAGGCACCCCACTTAGAAGTGACTAGGCGACGCAGGATTTGATTCCGGCTATGGACTTTCTGCTTGATGTTCTCGCAGTTTTTACGAAAGGTGAGTGACCTATCCAGAGTAATGCCGAGGTATTTGGGGAAGTTACTGTGTTCAATAGACACCTCACCCCAGACAATGTTTAGTTTTCGCCCTGCCTCTCTATTGCGAAGGTGAAATGCGCAGGATTGAGTTTTGCTCGGATTTGGTTTCAGCGAGTTTGCGGAGTAATACTGATCTAAGTTAGTGAGAGCATTTGATAGGTTCGCCTCGACCTCTTCGAAAGTGGTGGCCTGGGAGGTGAGTGCAAGATCATCTGCATAGAGGAAGCGGGACGTGTTTAAACTAGATGGTTGGTCGTTGGTGTATATATTAAAAAGAAGCGGAGCCAGGACGCTACCTTGGGGTAGTCCGTTCTTTAGTGATCTCCAACGACTTTTCTCTGAGAGGAGATGGACTTGGAAACGCCGGTTGTGAAGAAGTTCTCGGAGTATTTTGACAAAATTCATGTCATTTGTCATGGTCTCCACCTTCCACAACAGACGTTTTAGGTTAACTGTATCGTAAGCTGAAGATAGGTCGACGAATACAGCGCCTGTGACCATTCCTGCCTCGAAACCATCCTCAATATATTGCACGAGTTTGAGGGTCTGGTTGCAGCAAGACTTAATAGGCCTGAAACCGGCTTGCTCCGGGATTAGTTTAGGGTCAATAGCAGTCGTAAGTCGGTTCAGCAGCATTCTCTCGAAAAGCTTATATGTGTGACATAGAAGAGATATTGGTCGATAGTTCTTAGGGTCATCTGCTGCCTTGCCTGGTTTTAGAATAGCTATGACCCTAGATTTTCTCCAGAGCCGGGGTATTGAAGTGGATTTCAGACAGTTGTTATAAAGTTGCAGCAACCAAGACACAGCAACTGGGCCAAAATGTTTGATCTGCTCAACCGATATTTCATCCACTCCAGAGGCTTTGCCGCACTTAAGACCTTTAATCGCTGTCACAACATCAGCAAGGATGAGCGGCTTGCTGATAGTGTCACAAGGATTGCCACATGTCTTTAGTTTAGGAACTCTTTCGGGGCGAACTGCTGGTTTGCCATTGAGAAGCAACTGATGGGCTATTTGATTGGCGGTAACTTGGCTTGGAGGAGAGGGTCGAGAAGGCTCGTTCGTCAACTTGCGCAAGGTGTTCCATGCCTTCTTACTGTTGTGAGTCATATCAATACTAGTGACAGTATTGACCCATCTCTCTCGCCTATTTTCTCCAATTGTAGATAGCAGCAGCTCTCCTGCCTCTGTGGTAGCCTCCGAAAATGGGTCCGTCTGGTAAAGTGATTCATACCGGCTCAACAGATCAATGGACTCTGTCGACAATCCTGGTATGTAAGACGTCCTGCAGCCCCTTGGGATGTATTTCCGGGATATGGATTGTACAGTCTCGACAAATTGGTCGTAATTTACTGGGGTTGGCAGCAGATTTAAGAGGGCGTCGTCAACGGAACTTGCAAAAGACTCCCAGTCAGCCTTAGTATAATTGAATCGGCGTTTAAATGGCACAATCATAGGTCGGACAACGGACTCGATGCTGCATAAAATAGGTCTATGTTGAGGTATAGAGTAATTGTTTACCTTCTTGATATTGAATATAGATTTTCATATTTCCCTACTTTTTGTACACTAGATACAAAAATATGTTGTATTTAATGTGTCTAAAAGTATTAAAATATTCTTCTTATATTTACTTAACACTTCACATTCACTAAAATTTGCTAAAAAATCTAAAAATTATTACACCTACATAAAGATTTTTACTCAATGTATATGAAATTATATATGGTACTTATAAAAACACCATTTTAAACATTTTTGTCTGCCTGTCTGTGTGTTTGTTCTGGCTAATCTCCAATTTTTCAATAAGATTTTGACGGGACTTTCACTGGCAGATAGCTGATGTTATAAAGAGTAACTTAGGCTACTTTTATTTTAAAAAAAGAAATAGGATTCCATCCAAAAAAATTAAAACGTACCCATGGACTCTCCCAAGTGAAGAGAGGGTAAGTCACTAGTTATACATTATTATAGTAATTAAATTAAAAATTTCAGGTCTACAACTTCAAATAGGTGGTAAAGATGTGAAGCCAGGAATGCAATCATTGCAGAAAATTGTTCAGCAGCAGTGGTACTCGGTATCTAATTTGAGTCAAACTATTATTGAAATGTGCGAACAGAAGTTGCAAGATGTTGACATTAGTGTTGAGGTAAGATAGAGTTAAATTGAGATGAATAAGACAAACTATACCATAATTTGCCATTCATATTCAAACAACAAGAATAATAATTTTGTATTGTTTTTAAGAATCATGAAATCAGGTCCTAAATTTAATAATTTAATTAAAAAAAAATTATGTAATGAAAGAGTCTGTTTGAGAGGGTAAATATCAAAAACACATTTTTGTTTACTTATTTGCACATGTTTCTATGAAAACAATGCATTTTATTGATAACTTTACTGTTTGACTTAATTGTAAGTTTAATTCTTATTATAATATTTTGTTTTGTTTTAAATTTTCAGGTGGCATGTTCATGCCTTGTTGGACTGTATCTTCTTGATTCACAAACAATGGTGCAATTGTTAACCACATTGATAGACCTCCATAGTAACTCCAGTCTGAAGTCCACTTTACAATTTGATCTCGCACAGATATTAGATGGAGATGTTAAAGCACAGATTAAAAAGAAAATTGTCAATGGTGTAAAAATTGTTTTGAAAACGGTGGAATTAGTTTATGCTTGCTTTGTAGGTTAGTGGAATTAATATAACTCTTCAACAAGCAAAATAAAAATGGGATAGATTTGTCTACCCACATTGTAGATCAAAAAAGTACTAGATACACAATAGAGCGACAATGTCCTCAGCGAATGAGCAATCATTTGAACATTTGAGCGGGCTTTTAATTTTTTTTTGTAAAAACAACTTTTAGCATTGCATATAAGGTTCAATTTACATTGTTGTATATTTATTTCAACTAGAATAATTACCTAAACACAATTTTTGACATTTTTAAGAGAACTTTTGCATAGGATTCTGTATCTAATACTTTTTTGATTCATGACAAAAACAATAAACTTTATTTTAATAATTTTTAAAATATCAATCCATTCATGCTCTTTCTTATTAGCCTTATTTTAATAAATAATCTATATATTACTATGTAAAGAAAAAACGTTGTATAATAATAGTGTTCTTTTATATGCTAGCTAGCTTTGGCATATTAATACTATTCACACTCTAAAGTCTACCAGCAACTTTTGAATATCCCAGTATCCAATGTCAAACACTATGGACCCAAAAAATTGTATTCTATATGTCATAAAAATATCTTTTTGCAATAAATGAAGGTAATATGTATTCTTCTTCTATGAATTGTGTGTTAATTCTGGTTGTTCAATATCTCAATCAAATATGTCCATTGAAAAAGATATTCACTCATAACTTAGCTTAGGCTATATTTTATCATCGTGCAAAACATAAAAATATATGTATATACTAGCGACTCACCCATACGTTTAAACACACGTTTTAACGTTTAGTATAGATTTCTCAGAGATGAGATATTTTTCCGCAGTAAAAAGTATCCAATATGATACCCGGATAACCAGCTATCATCATACAAAACATCAAAATCCATCCAGTGGTTTGTCCGTGATGCAGTCACAGACGGACAGACAAAATTTCTAAAAACTATAGATTGGGCCTCTGTATCGATAGTAATGTTTATTTTTAATAAGATTTTCCAAAAAATACTTAATGTACCGATTCAGATTAGTTATAATTTTATTATATGTATAGATTTGATAAAATTATGCATATCCTGATCAATGTATTTCTTAATCACATGGTATTTGAATACAAATATCTGTATTTTCCATAGAAAATGAAGGTGGCGCTGTATTAGAAAAGCTTAAAGATTTGTATGGAAAAGATTCACAGCCTTTGCTAGAATTGGTACAGTTCAGTGATACTGCTGCATTGAAATTATTACCGTCTGGTGTGACCACATACAGGTGACATAGATTGATATATTTAAGACATATTTGCCCGATTTCACCAACATCCCATAAGCTACCACCTATGTATGGGATCCCTAGCTTAAAAGTTCACCTAAACTAGCCCCTAAATTAAATTTCGTTTTACCATCGTCAGAACCCGTATTTCTAGTACCTATATTTAGGTGGCATTTTAACATTTAGGTGACCCCTAACTGTCGGTGAAACAGAAACTGTCCCCTAACAGCCCCCTAAATATGCTTAGGGGATTCCTTAAACTTAGGTGACGTTGGTGAAATCGGCCAATTATCTTGTAAATACTACTGATGCACTCCCTTGTATATGTAGAATATTATTTATTTAACTGCCTCGGTGGTGTAGTGGCTAGCATGTACGGCTGCACAACCGGAGGTTCTGGGTTCGAGTCCCGGGTCGGGCCAAGTTTAGTTATTGAGTCTTCCTGTATAGTAAGTCTCAGTAACAGCCCGGAGTTGGGAAGTTGGCGGTGTTTCACCCCCGTGCCTCGGAGAGCACGTAAAGCCGTCGGTCCTGCGCCGACACTCTCACCGCGAGTGTCTCGTGTCGTCCCACCGGAGTATGAGAGTGATAGGAATAGAGAGTGCACGTTGTGTCTGCGCGTACACTTGTGCACTATAATATCTCCTGCGCAGTTGGCTAATCTCATTGAGATTGGCCGCCGTGGCCGGAATCGGCTAGGAGAACATCATCATCATCATATTATTTATTTATTTTTGACTCCCTTATATACTATATTTATAATTGAGTTAGACGGATGAGGGAGTAACTACTCAATTTTAGTGCATGTCAATTGATACTTGATAGATGATTTTCTTTTATATGAATTTCAAATAAATGAATATTTTCAAATTATCTTGAAATTCATACCTTTGGTAAACAAAAATACTAAGAAATCATTATACAAACGTAAAAACTTGATAATTTACTGTATTTTATTTTTATTAAATTTTGCATTGGAAGACAATTAAAATGTTATGCTCGAAAGTGAAGCCTCATAATGCAATGTCAATTCTTGACTATCGAATTGTGTTAACGAAATAAAAAAATATGCTATAATGCCAGTATGCACAAGCGTTGTATGTAAATAATATACAATTTACATACTTTTAGTTGGTATGATCCCCCCGTTTCGAAGGGAGGCGCGTGCCCAACAGTGGGACGTTAAAAAGGGCTTAATACATAGTTTTAGTTATATTAGTCCCCCCACGACCGCGGACACGCCGGTGTGTCATTTAACAATAGATTTCTTAGAATTTTAATTCATTTTTTAGAAATTTACCTGGAGGTGTCAAACCAATATATTAGAAAAGTGACATAAATAATGTTTTATTTTAGGCTATCATCTAGCAAAGATCTTCAGCCATTAGCTAAAGAAGAAATAACAAACAGCGTGCAAAAATGGAGTGTTTGGGTCAAATCATTCATTAATGAAAACGTCCAAGCGTTGCTACAAAACGTCACAAGAATTAAAGTATTGCATGAGATTCGGGAAGAGACATTCAAAATTGGTAATATCTTATATTTTTTATATCTGACTAGCGACTCACCCTGACTTCGCTCGGGTTCGTGCTTATGTACGTTTTACCGGTTAGAATGGAATAGATACAAATATAAAATATATAGTCTAATAAATATATATATATATATATATATATATATATATATATATATATATATATATATATATATATATATAAGGTATGATGAGTTTTATACCCATTATTTGAGAATTAGGTAGCACTTAACCGTGCAGACTCATGGGTAGCGGCAGAATTATTTCCAAGTGGGTGCAACTACTAATTACTCTTTAAATGATTAACTTTTTGTCTTTATAACTTTTTAACTTTGACTCACTCCCTCGTCTTAATGGGGCGTCGCATTATAGGAGGAACCATAAAAATCTTATAGCAATCCCGTGATCTAAAAAAAAAAACATTATTTTCAGAATGCCCGTCAAATTGGACCGCCATATGCAATTCGTTGGACATACCAGAAGTACACGTCTGGTGTCATTATTTCCAACCTCTTTTGACATCTCGAACTAAATCTATCATAGACAATAGATGGCAGAAACTCTATGACACTTTCAAGACTCAGTTACTAGTGGACCTAACTAGGGTGTCTTCAGAAAGTGACGTGGAAAAAGAAGCAGATATAAATTGGTTTGTCTGGAAAGACCTTATCGGCGATACTGTCATAGAATCGAGAAACGAAGTTGTTAAAGTTATGAATGGTTTAATGAAAGGTATTTTATTTTAGAGTTATTGTCATAATTCTTATTAATTTTATTTATTGTTCTTTTTAGTTTATTTTAGTGGAAGAGCGGATAGAATCTTATATATTGTTAATCTCAGGCCAAATTTTTTTAAAGAAATTTTTGATTTTGTTTTATAAATAGTACTCTCATAAAGTGATACTTACATATTTAATCAAAAATTATATATGTACTTAGTAAAAAAAATAATAATATTATTATTATTTATTTAAGTAATAAGTAAAAGAAGTTATATAGTTCAAAAATACGTACATATATAAAAATGCTTTTTGAATTATCAAATATTTATATATGTAATTCCATTATAAGTAAATTAATATTAACAGGTATGTCTCGTCAAGATCGTGGCTTTACGCCAAATTTGGAAAAACTCTGTCAAAGCTTAGATGATGAATTACAGAAGCTTCTAGAAGATTTAAAAGAATATTTATATCATGAAAAAAAGAAGGACAAGCTATTCTTATATGATGAAGAAGAAAACTTAGACCAAGTGTACATAGATAGAGCTGAAATAGAAGAATACTTAAGAAATACGTCTGATAGAAATATTCACAAGTAAGTGTAGCTAGTTTTATTTATTAACATTTATTTATTAATCGCTTGTTAATAAATATACTCTTTTCAGTATGGTTAATTACATAAAAGCGTGCTTCGAAGAACAAACCCTGCAGTCGACGGAACTTCAAAGGAAAACAACGTCTATATATTCAGCTCGTTTCCTTCAAGCAATAACATCCCTTATGCCTAATTTACGCAAGTGCTATATTAACGATGCAGTGTTATTAAATGATAACGCTATTAAAAGCTGGAAAGACATTAATGCGGTTTTGAAAGAAAATTGCCTATTTTGTTGGACAAAATGGCTGGATTTAGTTCAAGAGAAGATTGATAATTTAACGAAACGTTTGCCTCAAGAGTTCACTTTGGAAGCGAATATTGATTACTTAATGATGGTTAGTTACTGATTTTTCATTTGATAATTTTAGTTTTGATAATGTAATAAAAATAAACTCTTTATTCTACACCAAGAACAAAAGAAAATAAATAAATACAGAATAGATATATAATGTATAAGAGGCGTCCTTATTGCTAAAACAGCGATCTCTTCCAAGCATTCTTTAGGTGTAGGAAACAGCAAACTGTAAGAGGGAAGGTGTACATATACATATGCACATATACATACATATATACCTTATATAATGTAATTAAATGTTTAGGCGTTCAGCTATAAATATTTGTGAATGCGAAACATATAACGTCCCATGCCAATACATATAACGTGATTTTCTTGCATAAGTATCTACTTACAGCGTATAAATGAAAAAATATGTTGGGACATTAACACACAGCACCATCTAGTTCCATGGTAGCCTAGGAGGCTTGTGTTATGGATACCAGATAGTTGATACATTACACATATATAACTTTAAATACATACATATTATAAATATAAACACTCATGACCGGAAAACATTTGTACTTACACAAATGAATGCCCCCAGCGGGACTCGAACCCGCGACCGCGTACACAGCGAGTAAGGTCACTACAAACTGAGCCAAACGTGTCGCTTATATGTCTTAAAAAGCGAATTAGTATCCATGCAAAGATTACATTTATGATATTATTATTGTTCTATCTAACTTTTCAGCAATGGGATGTAATAAAAATCGAAGAAAAAGACGAAGAAGGCAACCCCATAGAATCAACCATAAAGGTCCCTTGCGGACCTTCTTTAAAACTACAGGAATACCTTTATGCCATAAGTCGGATACTTGATGAAATAATCCCCCATACATTACCTATAGAGATACATTCATTGTTCATAGAGAGGACTATTGCCATCTCGCTCGCACACTACGATAAAGTGATACGAGAGAAAGAGACAGATATAAACCAAAGGTGTGCTCTTCAATTGTTAATGGATGTCAGGCATTTGACTTTACTAATGGTCTCGAGAGAGAATAAAAAAGCTATGGAGATGTCTCATGATATTTGTGAGTTTTTAAGACAAAAAATTGATCCGTTTGATTATGATGTGTTCTATCCATACATTCAAACTAATTTGAAGAGATCGGTGCAAAGAGTTCAGGTTAGTATAATTGGTTTTTTTATGACTATTTTGATTATTGTAGGTATTATTGAAGAAAATCTCACTTAATTTTAAATCTAGCAAAAAAATGGTGTTTTAGAAATACTTCTGTATAAATATTAAGGCGTAAAAATAACCTCGTATTTGTCATTTTACTTAAAAAAAATCCATCCCTAAGTATTTATGTATGTATTATACATACTTAGGGATACTATACTATTTAGTGAAAAAGTTATGTATACTAATATTATAAAGAGGAAAGATTTTTTTCTTTGTTTGTCTGTTTGAACCGAAGAGACTCCGAAATTACTGCATCGATTTAGATGAAATTTGTTAAGAAGATAATTTGAGATCCTAGGAAGAACATAGGATAGTTTTCATCCCAGAAATCATTCCTTCAGGGGGTGAAAATGGGGATGAGAGTTTGTATGAGGAAGCAAAATAGGGAAAAAGTGAGTCGCTAGTTATCCATATATGTCAATAAATATTTTTTCTATTCTTTATTAGCGACATGGATTGTACCTCGTCTAAGAAGTCTGTTTTGCTTTGAATTTATCAATCTTTTTTGCAGTTTTAGTGTCATATTTCTTCCATTCTACGAGATATATTTTGTTTATAAAAACAATTCTAATATATTTCAGACATTACTAGGAAGTCTGATCCTCCACCACGGTCAGCTAACCGGCATCATTGGTACCAAGCCCGTGCTCTCGGGAGGTAGTGGGGATAAGGCAGCCTCTATCCTGGCCGCCGCGGATACGCACTGGTTCTCTATCCTGCCGGTGGCGACCCCGGCCAACCTACACAAGAAGCAGGATAAACCGGTTAGTATGCCGATAGCTATCCTGTATGGATGATAGGCGATTATCTGTGGATTTTAATGGAAATACCGTCAAAAAATATGTGAACATTTTGAGTTGTCTGATCTATTTTTTTGATAGTCAAAAATCTACCGTAGACAAACCGCCATGGTTAGAGTATAAACTTACGTTTATTAAAAACAAATCTCTCTATACATAAATAAATCAGAAAAAGGCAAGGATAAAAAAACGATTTTCATGGTGTTTTGGAAGTTAAAGGGCGTTGTGTCATCTCATAGCATAGCTTTATGGCGTTTCCCGACTGTCGTATAAAAGTAAGTATGACAGTCGGATGTACTTCACCCGCGTCTCACTCACGTCCGTGGCATCCGTTTTGCTCAGTCTAGACACTTGCTAGAAGACTGTATTATCTATATATTATTACGTGAAGCAAAAACTTTATATCCCTTTTTACGAAAATTGCGCGGACGCAGGAGTATGAAATTTCCCACACTTATAGTATATATAGAGAAGGAGTGCAGAACTAATATTTTTTTAAAATTATGCATAAAAAATATATTAAATCAATAAAAAAAAAACATTACACACACTACCCATGTATTTGACAAACACTCGCACATATACTCTTTTGTTTATTGTTAAAGTTTGATAGGCATTATTATTTGGGATTTTAATAGTTAGTATTATGGATATTAGTAAAAAAAAACTAGTAAAAACAAAAATAAACCTTCACTACAAAAGGTCAAGGAAAGTTCTACTTTGTACAGTTTGATGTCCTTATTAATATAATGATATTGAATTGTGGAAATCCCACAACTTAGAACTCTCCTTGACCTTTTGTTAGTTCCCCATTAAGCAAATTATATGTAAAATTTTAAATTATTATAATTTAATTTTGCATCTTATCACAGGCCGATCCGTTCGATATCTACGTACTATGATATACGGTAAATGTTTGTGCGTGTTCGTGTTAGTTGAGTTTTCATTACTAAGTATTAAATAAATTATGTTATTTTTTTTAATAAAAACGCCATTGTTTGAAAGATTGTGTAACTAATAAAAAAGATTATTATTCCATTTAAATATTCATGTTAGAAGTTAATATGCATGAATAGAAATCATTATAACATAACTAAGAAATAAGACTAAACTCGAAGTAGTTGTTTATTGTTACTTAAAAAAAATATTAATTTTATATAGGTATTATTAAATTAATATGTCTGTAATAGAAAAGCAAATAATAATGCAGTCTATTTAAAAAAAACTGCTTTATTTTTTTAATTTAAATAATACGAGTATTACCCTTCAGGTTTGATACCTGTTCAAAATAAAACTTCTTTAAAATCGGTTCTCAATAAATAGATATCGATCAACAAGATTCTGTATTGGACATGATTGGACATGACAAGATTATGTATATATGTTTGTATGTCCGTCATTTCCTCAAAAACAACTAATCCATTTGGATGGAGTTTGAAATTGGAAATAGAAATCAAAGTTAAGAATTGCTATTAATAAAAGGCTAGTGTTTAACTATTACTAACTTACTAAGGTTATAAGTCTTAGGTGTTCTAAATGTAATTTTCTTTTAGGTAAAGAAGAAACCTGTATCAGCCAGTCCAAATAAAGCAAGATCGGATATAACTGACCTAATGACCAGCTCGTTGCCGATCAACTTCGCTAATGCCCGTTCTGGGGCCGCATCCTTCTTTAACTCTATTTCATCTGATTGGTTTAGTGGATGATTCATACAAATTATTTTTAATATATTTTATTGTTTTTTTATTTAGAATTTCGTTTTAATTTATTTAACGATTGTATTGTAAATAAATTAATATAAATAATAAGTTGATTTATTTTATTTATTACTTTTAGACTGGTTTTTTTGTCTCATAAGTTTTATTTAATAGATCAATAAAAATAAGTACATTTATTTATTTTTACTAACGAATACGGTCAGGGTGGCCAATTTCAATCGCATTAGCTAACTGCGCAGGAGATACTTTTGCTCTGGATTGGTCTTTCTATTGTTTATATTGTAAACTTAATGTGCAATAATGAATAGTATATATTGTAATATTGTTCCTAACAAAGCGAAATCTGTACAATGTATATGTAATATTTTTTAAAAGCAATGACTATTACGTAATGTATACAGAATATATACCCCCAAAACAATTATTATTAAAAATTTTGTCCGTTTGTCTTTACGCCTGTTCATCTATTTGGTTTTTTGTCTACTTATATATATCAGTGTGCGTTTTACATAAAACAGTTCAAAACTTTTTGAAGAAATGATGACGTATAAATTTCATTTTCGAAAAGTGAACATTAAATAAGTTAATTTTAATATCTGAAAGACTAAATTTTAGAAAGACGTGTGAAACCCGTGCCCGAAAATGGGACGTTGGAACGTCTAATTATTTTGTATAACCCACAGCTTCGTTCGCGCCAAAACTAGAAAAAAACTCTAAAAAGGTAGGTTTCATACAAACTTTTATCCCCAATTTTATCTGCTTATGGGATGAATTTCGAAAAATGCTAAAACACGTATTTATTTAATTGTATTGAAGACCATTAATACCAAGTTTCTAGTAATTCTGATCGTAAATATTTTTTGGGTTGTATTATAACGTGTTTTCCCGTGGCAATGAGGTAATCTCCTGCGGTGAAAAATAGCCTACGTCCCTCTCTAGTACTCCAACTATCTCCATATAAAAATAACATCAATCCGTCACACTGTTTCGACATGAAAGAAAGACAAACAAACACACTTTCACATTTATAATATTAGTATGTATTTTATATTCAACTAACTGACCCAACAGACCTCGTTCTGTCAAATCGAGTGTGTGGCAGGTCTGATTAGAAAAATTATGTTTTTTTTGTTTCTCCGGGCATTTTTCCAATATTTCTCTTCATTAGAACCTTCCTCGGACTTCAACTAATATTTGAAAAAAGAATTACCCGACTTGGTCCAGCTGTTCTCGAGTTATGCGCTTAGCAACACATTCAACCTTTCATTTTTATTAATTAGAAGATTGTTCAGGTCATTAAAATCTATTTTAAATGAAATCCAAACAATTTTATATTAGAAATAATAGAACATATACTGGATTGAATGCAGTTTTATTTTTATTTAACAGTCAAGAGCGAAACAAAACAATATCATCAATCCAATCTTTCAGTTCAAGTTTCAATTCAGTTTTTTGATAGTGCTAAGGAAAAACATCGCTTAAATTACATACATAATTATATAAATTCAAATTTCAACTTTTTAATACATTCAATGATTTTATTTATGTATAATAATAATAATTTTAAATAAGATATATTATTATTACTTATATATAATTAAGATTTTTTTTAATATTGATTATAGCTTCAGTTCAAATTAATCAATAGTATTTTAATTATAACTTAAAATAAATTACTTTACTGTAGTCTTATTTAAGCTGTATCTTTTTTTACTTCACCCGCTCTTCGGGCTAACGTTCTGAAGTTGTCGATTCCATCGTATCCGTAGTTACTGCTGTAGCCGGGATACCGGTCGTATCCGGGACGAGATTGATATCCTGGTCTATAACCGGGATAACTTGATCCTGTGTAGTCGTATCCAGGACGATAATCATATCCAGGTCTGTTGTATCCGGGACGATAGCCTGAAAGTAAGTGAGATTCGTTGTAAAGATACATATCCAATAGGCGATGGTTATAAATAAAATATACGGATATATGAAAAATGTGTCGACACTCGCTGTGATAGCGGTCGCGGGTTCGAGTCCCGCTGGGGGTATTCATTTGTATGATGAGCACGAATGTTTGCACTCCAGTCATGGGTGTTTATATATATATATATAATATGTATGTATTTAAAGTTATATAATATGTGTAGTGTATGAAATATCTGGTATCCATAACACAAGCCTCGTAGCTTACCATGGAATTAGATGGTGCTGTGTGTTAATGTCCAAACATATTTAATAAAAAAAATAAAAATATAATATATATTGTAATACTATTTGTAATACTTTGTTACTATACCAATACTAGCTGTTCACTCACGTTAAATCTGTCTAATTATAAACATCGGTTTTACAGTAACGTATGGAAGTCTGCCCGATTTGTTGACATTGACGATTACGTACTATTTCGCTCCCTTGGGCAGTAGCATGATGATATATAGCCTAAAGCATTCCTCAAGAAACTGGCTATCTAATGCAAAAAGAATTTTTCAAATCGAATAAGTAGTACCTGAGATTAGCGCGTTCAAACAAACAAATTCTCTCTCTTTATAATATTAGTATAGATTAATAAATATAAATATCTATGATTTCTAATAATCTATATATATAAAAGAAAGTCGTGTTAGTTACTTCGCTTATAACTCAAGAACGGCTGAACCGATTTAGCTGAAAATTGGCAGGGAGGTAGTTTAGAGCCAGGAGAAGGACATAGGATACTTTTTATCCCGTTCGACCGCGTTCCAATTTTTATGATATTTTAATTTTTGGATTTCTCTTAGTCCGGAATAGGTAAGTATTAAAACATATAATTAAAATGTGAGAAAGAAAGATTTTTTCTTTTTATATCTATTTAAAACGTACCTAGCGACGAACCCGAGCGAAGCGAGGGTGAGCCGCTAGTAATCTTTAAAATAAAGTAGAAAAGGATACAATTGACTTCTTGTCTCTATCCCTTTTTAAAGCATAATTTATCGCTCAATTGTTGTTTTCAACCGACTTCAAAAAGGAGGAGGTTCTCAATTCGACTGAGAACTCCGTCATTTATTAACTGATTTGAACAATTTTTGTGTTGTTTGAAAGTGTATACTTCCAGATTGGTCCCATTTAAATTTAAAAAAAAAAATACCACCCCTAAGGGTGGAAAAATAGCTAATGATGAATTTAACCTACTTCTAATTGTCATATTGACTTGAAACTTTGCAAGTGTTTCTATTTCCGTTAATAGTACAGTGGTTCGGTATTGTTGACCTGATCTGATGGTAAGGCCAAAAGGTGGATAGGTGGAACTCTTCAACTGCTAATAGTAGATACTTTAAGTTTGGGCTTGTTTTGTTTGATTTGACAAGCCTAATACGTTAGAATTCTTACTTTGCTACTACTGTCTACACTAAAAAGGGAAAAATAAAAACTTTTTAACAAAAAAATAAAAACCGACTTCAAACAAAAGCATTAAAAAGTAAAAAATAACTGATTGGTAGTTTTCATTTACTATACATACCTAATCAAATATATTCGAAGTCGGTGTGCTTTGGCTAAGTAATTAAAACTTACCTATTAAATACATACCTAATCAAATATTTTCGAAATCGGTGCCAGGCCATATAAAGCAAAGCACACCGACTTCGAATATATTTGATTAGGTATGTATAGTAAATGAAAACTACCAATCAGTTATTTTTTACTTTTTAGTACTTTTGTTTGAAGTCGGTTTTTATTTTTTTGTTAAAAAGTTTTTTAATAATCCCGACTTTAATTTTGTATGAACTTCCTATTTGTTTTAACACACGTAGATTTTATCCTTGAATTGATAAATAAATTAGTTTACAACATTGTAAAGACGCAGATATTAATGATTCCTTATCGCAAGTTATAGTACATATTTTTTTCTTTTATAAATATATTAAAAAATACATTAAAATTAAGTTTAAAATTTTATTGTCTGGTGTTGCAATGTTTTTATTTAATTTGTAATTTATTTTTGTTTATTTTGTAATGTATTTTTACAACTTAACTTCACTTGTTAAATATAAATTCTCTTTATGTGAAATAAAATTTAGTATAATATATAAGTACATTAGGGAAAATATATCTACATGTGTATTTATATACAATAATTTTAGTTTGTAGGTCTGCTCGTGTGACAGGTACTTCGATAAAAAGAAGGTCTAAGCCTCAGAGTTTAGGCTAGGGCATACGAGTATGATGTTCTCCTGACCGATTCCGGCCACGGCGCCCAATCTCATTGAGACTAGCCAACTGCGCAGGAGATATTATAGTGCACAAGTGTACGAGCAGACACAACGTGCACTCTCTATTCCTGTCACTCTTATACTCTAGCGGGATGACTACTCGACACGACCAGTGAGAGTTAAGGCGCAGGACCGACGGCTTTACGTGCTCTCCGAGGCACGGGGGTGAAACACCGCCAACTTCCCAACTCCGGGCTGTTACTGAGGCTTACTATACAGAAAGACTCAATAACTAAACTTGGCCCGACCCGGGACTCGAACCCAGGACCTCCGAGTGTGCAGCCATACATGCTAGCCACTACACCACCGAGGCAATTAATATAAAAGCTATATATCTCCGTTTAAAGACATTTAATGAATCCTTTGAGCCGCATATAAAATATTGGTGTGATGTTATCTTACTATTTGATAAATATTCAGTTAGTAATTTATTATCTAATATAAAATAATTTTGAGCACAAAAATTACATCGATTTCAAAACAACTTAAAAAGACATAATTCAATTTATAGAAGTGGAATTTTTTAATACAAACATGAAACAATACATTATGAAGAAAAAAATCTATACAAAATAAATAGGCTAAGACAAAAAATCCAGTACATTTTGCTCTTTTGTTTGTCAAACGATTTTATTTTTGGATAGTGGCTTTTTATATAAAACAATTATGGTCGAGATTCGATTACTGAGCGAACACTAATTAGTATATATAAAAGAGCTATTGATCTTTCCTTTTGAGCCTCCTATAAAGATCTTGTAAATCCGTTGCGTCGTTTTCGAGTTAAGAAAGAATAAACTAAAAATATTTCCTCTAACAATATTTGTAAAGATAATAATAATACAAGTGACAATAATAAAAGCGTAAATATAATACCTCCGTATCCTTGGTATCCTGAACCATATCCTGGATACCCGTTGTAGCCTGAAAACATAATAACAATCGTAAAAGACCATCCTGTTATGATATCTCAATAAAAAGTATATTTCTATATTAACTCACCCTCGCTTGGCTCGGGTTTGTCCCTAGGTTGATTCCCCGTACGATCTTTCATCCCAATTTCCACCCCCCTAAGGGATGATTTCCGGGATAAAAACTAGCCTGTCCTTCCCAGGATCTCAAACTATCTTCTTAGCAAATTTCATCTAAATCGGTTCTGTAGTTTCGGAGCTTATTCGGTACAAACAAACAAAAAAATCTTTTCACTTTATAATATTAGTATAGATAGGTATATTCGTTTCAGGTTTTTGGAAATGCAAAAAGCAGGCCGTGGATTGGTAAACCATGTTAACTGGGGGTCCCTCACCTCTGACAATCTCATGTGCAAATCATTTTCAATATATTGCCTCGCCGAAGGAATCTTAAATGTTGACTCCAAAGTTTCATATAATCTCACGTCCACATCACGCTATCAGTGGTCATTAGTCATAGAATCAACTAGTTAGAAGTTGGTAAAAAGCTACTTTATATTATATACCGAACTGCAGAAGGCGTTATACTGTTTCATAACTACAAAGAAACATGAAAGAAATGGAATTTTTAACGGTAATCCATGTAAATATTATATCTTAGATATATTATTACCTCCTGTACTTCCGTAACCTGGATACTGTCCGGGATAACCGCCGTAACCACTGTTGTATCCGCTTCCGTAACCATCGTAACCACTTCCATAGCCTCCGTAACCGCTTCCATAGCCTCCATAACCGCTACCGGAATTGTATCCCGGTCTCAGTAGTCCGTACCCGCCACCTCGTCTAGTGTAGCTAGGATCATTCACTTCTGACAGCCTTTGGGCCATAGACGTGGCCAACAAACAAAACAGCAAGATCATATTCTGTAAAAGAAATTTGGGTAATTTTAAGCATATAATACTCATATCCTCATATTTTCACAAAATAACAAACATTTTAAGTATAAGGAGTAATATGAAATATCGGGATCTAGAAACAATTAGGTAGAAATTGTAAAATCAGCCTTTTTCTTTAAAAAATCTTCTATCATTATCTTTTACAATATAGGTAGCGGTAGGTACTACTAATGAAAATTAATACTTAGTAAACTTAAAGATAAGTATGAAGTTGATGGAAAAAGATCATTTAAAAAAGAAAAAAACAAAAAAAGAAAAAAAAAATTGTTATTTGGTAGTTCTATCCTATAATATCTGTAGATCCATCAGAAATTACCATTCAAAATACAATGACATTAGTAATAATTACTGTAATTAGGTAGGTACAAATGAATATAAATGGTGTACTTAATTATGTCTGATTTCTGATATACCTACTACGTCTAAAATCGTTGTTTCGACTTCCGCATGGGGTAAATTCTTTAATTTATGACTGTTTTTTTAATTTAATGTTTTTCACAGAATATGTTAATATTTCTGCCTTAACAAGAGAGTATGAATTAGGGGAAAAATATAAGCACGGTAATATTACATATACATTACCGTGATAGAAGTCTTTAGAGATTTACTTTCGTATTATAACAACGGTTACTATTTACTAATACTATACGAGTAAATGCGAAACTATGAAATATTGGAGTAATAAGGATGGCTTTTAGCGTTTATGTCTTTTAGGGCCAGCTATTGAGTACAAGATTCAATTCAATTCAATTGTTTTGTTCGATGACTCCTAGGGGCTTGGACTTTGAGAGTGCCATTTGGGCAAATTTTGCTTCACCAATGTCCACGTTACGTAAAGAATGACCGGTGAGTACAAAGGTTTATCGCTGATGTTTAATCGTTTGTCACTTTTTTTATAGTACCTGCATTAATTTGTTTTTATTAATGTTAATAAATAAATGAAAATACTTTTTAGCCAAAAAGTTAACCGACTTTAAAATTGATAGGTAATTATTATTAATTATTTTCTCTCATGGCTGTATATTTTTTATACGAATATGAGTGCAGTGGTCTCACATAAGTTCCCTTGAGCTATAATGAGTTCTTTAAAAAAATATTTTATATTTACAAATGGCGAAGTAATCACGTAACATACACCTTTTTGTAGTTGACCAAAAAATAAAATTACAGATAATAAGAAACGAATATTCTTTTTTAAGCCGTACTTAAATAGAAGGAAGCCTTGTTTAGGTTTTACGCTTTAAATAAGTTTGTTATTTAAAATTTTATATGTTTTCACTTTATCGAATAAAATAGTATTAATAACTATAAATCTGGTTGATGTCGCACGTCACAACACAAAAAAGCACTCACCACAAAAATCATATTTATTTTCAACTGTATACAACAAAGTCTGACACACTATTGCAGTTGGTCAACAGTGTTTCTTATTTATATGAGATCACGTTCAAGATCGAGTGGTTTTACGCATCCGCTCCATACATAATTACCACGATTATTGTCATATATCAGGCCCGCAGTGATGAAGAGACTTAACTGACACCTTTAATTTGGTTTTAAAAATGGTAAAATTTTTATATAAATATGAATTAAATGTTTGTCGAATAATTAATATATAATAATGATAACTACGCAAGCCTTTACATAATAAAAAGGTAGATATTATTTTGTACTTTAGTTTTTTTTTATATTTTAAGGGTAGGCCACTTTTGAAGTGATTCATGATGGTGTTATGAAATTAAAACTTATTATTATTTATTTGCTTGTTTGTACGTTTGTTTATAGTTGTTATAAACTGTGAAAATAGTTCATGAATCAATAAAACGAAAAAAATATGCTTAAGTTACTGAATGCCACTTGGAATTTAGTTTTAATACTGTGAGAAGCGACGATAAATAAATGTTTTATTTATTTTTTTGAATCGTGGTTATCTTAATATAAAAGTTCAACAAGTTAACTAACTGGTTTAAAAAATGTTAACATCAATTTAACTACAACTAAGTTAAATGTTAACATCAATTCGGTTTAGACATGTAGGTAGTAGTAAGATTTAGTTAGTGGATTATTTGCTACACGCCTTTTAGACGTCTAAAACTTTACTTTCTATGATTGCTGTATGTAAATCATTCGAAACTTCAGGACCAAAAATCAAAATAAATGCGCGAAAAAATCCGAGTTTAAAAAGCTAGTTTTATTTCAAAATAAAATTAGTGGAAAACTTAATAAAATAATATTAATTAGATGAGTGGATAGAATTTTACTGTATAACCTTTATTCTAATCACGAAATATGAACATACCTACAGTAGGTACGTATATTTGAAGATAATATGTAAAGTATGACTGATACAAAGGCTTTATTATTGTTATAAGCAATCCCTTTGGTGAAGCTTGTCCCGATTTGATTAACATAAATAACGAATTTCTCGATATGACAGAAAGATAAGATAACACTATGTCCTCTTTGTATTTTCTTTAAGGGATTATGTCAAAAATTAAATTTATTTACCACCTGGTTAGTGGTCGGTGAACTATCCTTAGAGAAGTCATCAAGTTTTTTTACCTTTAGACATAACATTTTATTCTTGTATTCTGAGTGCATGTATGTACGTATGTATATCGCCCCTTAAAACATTACATCCTAACGGCTGTTGAGTTTGTAGATTATTTATATTAAAACGAATTTGAATAAACTTTCGATTAAAATTGATAATATCAGCGCGGAAGCGTTCATTTGGACATCATATAAATTACCATTAGGCCTATTATATTGTCAAGGATAGTAGTCTCTGCAAGGATAGAATACGAAACGACGCATTTCGGTGCGCCAATTTGTTTATGAATCAATCAAAATACGGTGCGTAAATTAAATTTTTTGGAATAACTTTTGTCGCGTGTAATAGTGCCTATTACAGAGATAGCTGGTTCGATATCCATATAAGGCAAATCTGTGTGTGGATAATATTCAATATTTATAAATAAATAATTGTATTTACATTTAAAAGTTTCCTACATTATTTCGAATTGATTATAAACTAGAGACTTACCCTCGCTTCGCTCGGATGCGTCCTTAGGTACGTTTTATTTTTTTTGAGCGGGACCGTAATTTTATAGCTTAAATAGAAGTAGCCTATGTTACTCCATATAATATCAGCTATGTGCCAATGAAAGTCCCGTCAAATTCAGCCCAACCGTTTCGGAGATTAGCCTGAATAAACAGACTGACAGACAAAAAATATAAAAATCTTATATGTACAGTTTATAATTACAAAGGCATTTAGTAAAAAGCTGTTATCTTGACATTACAAACAAACACTTCAATTTTATTTATCTCTATAGATAAGAGTATTGACATATATATATGATACGTAAGGTACCATACCTGAGGGGATGTCCATTAATTACGTGAGTTGTTTTTCTCATAATTTGGACCTCTTCTTACCCCTTGGTGAGATTTAGTGAGATTCGGTGAGCTACTACGCTACACTACACTAGTCAAGTGCGGGTTGGTAGACTTCATATATCTTACAATAAATGATATAATAATAATAATAATATCCAAAATAACTAGGTTTTTGAGATATGCTGGTTTCCTTACGATATTTTTCTTTCACCGTAAGACTAATGATAATCATGTTGGAAAAGGCAGTAGCAGCCACGCCCGCCGAAAGCCGAAAACGTCACCAAGTAAAGCGAATTCAAATCTCGAGTCTCACAAGTCGCACATCTGCATTTTCATGTGCGGATCATTTCCAACTATGCCATCGACAGATTTGTATGTCCATTGTCCACCCATAGTGTTTTTCAATTAAATATAAAAAAAATGTTCAATACAACCCTAGGACAGATATATATATATATATATATATATATATATATATATATATATATATAGTATTATCAGAGAAGGCTTTCGTAATTTTAAATCTACTACATCTTGTCTTGCGTTTATAAAAAGTATATCGTATACTGACGATATCTTGTATCTGAACATTATGTATTTTGGTGCGAATCTTGATGCGTATTTATAGCGTTCACGGTCAATAGACATTATAATATTACTCTGGCGTGTTCTGTTACCATTGTTTCAAGTATTTCCGTTGATTGTATCAAAATTATTTGTTATTTTTGTTAACACCAGTATCAATGTAGGAAGTGTTTTTGTAACAAAATTTTAATATTTATTGTTATAAGGAAGCTAAGATGATCTTTAAGACGTGTAAAATATACTTTGGCTAGTTTATGATTATCTTTATTTCTTGCATGTTTACGGTTTTATACGCGAGTTCATAGAATTTAGCTTACAGTCCCTGGTTATTTCATCATTAATATCTAGTGGCTAGGATATACCGGTGCAGATTCGGAGGTCCTGGGTTCGAGTCTGGGAGAGACCAAGTATAGTCTTTAGGTGTTATGTCAAAATATTCTCAGTAACAACCTGGGATTGAAAATTGGCGGTCTTCCATCCCCGTGTCTTGGAGAGCATCCTACGCCTATCTGTACTACGCCCGATCTCTCGCCGGTCGTGTCGTATTATAGTTTCAACGGAATTGACGGAGAGTGAATAGAATTCAGGTAGACTTGTGTTTACGCATATACTTGTGCACTATAATATCTCCTGCACAGTTGACTAGTCTCAGTGATTTTGGCGGTTGCCGATTGGTTTGGAGGATTCTTATATAGGTTTTAAAAGAGCTTGGCTTATAATTTTGTAAATAAATTGAACCACTACAACTTTATACAACAAAATGATTACATTAACCTATTCTCTTTCTTTCTCGGTCTTTGAGTAGAACGCGGACATCAAACAAAAACTTGATATGGTTTTTTCTATAGGTACGTGTATTAATTTTTTTTGCATTTTTTTTATTAGGAGATATTTGTGATAAACAGTAATCCACTATCACATTATATATAGATTACTAGGATTGCCTGCGGTTCCGCCCGCGTTCAGGTGACCAAAATTTGCTAGGTTCTCTAGGACATGCAGGTTTCCTCACGATGTTTTTCTTCACCATAAGGCAAGTGGTAATCACTTCCAAACTTTTAAATCGATACAACAATTAGCACTAGGTTAATATTGACTCTGTTAAAGATTTCGTTTTATCGTTGCTTATAAAATAAGCCACGAGGTTAAATGCACACAATATAATATTTTCTTTAAATAAGATTAGTCTTAGAGTTAAAACAAAAGTAGATAGATAACTCCTTTGTATAAAGAGACCTTCCTCCAAATAAATAGTAAAATTTATTATTAACTTACTAAAACACCCGAAAAAGAAACTCCAATAAGGTTGTAAAAGTTTAAAACACTTCACGCGCCTAAATTCATTGGTAATTTCGCTTTCGAAACGGTTAATGGGAAAAAAACCAAGTTATATAACCCGATGGCCTTGACATAAGCCTTTACATGACACATCGTTCTGTTTTACTCCGATCAGGCTTTTAGCGTTGACTTTTTATTTTTTTTCAAATACATTACATGTAACTAGCCATCTTGACTCTTGTTTGATTCCGCTGTTTTAAAAATGGTTTGTTTTTATGTTAAATAAATATATGGATATGATAAAATTTAAATATACTATAAGCGACCGAGATTCGATCGGCGTTTTTCGGAAAAGATATAAAAATGCTTTTTTTCCCAGAAAAGACACTATGTAGATAAACTTAAAAAGCTTTAGTTCGGAATCGATGTTATTATAATACAGTGAAAGTCATATTAATAAAAAGTACGTATGATGGTACGGAACCCTTCGTGTGCGAATTCCACTCGCACTTGACCGATTTCTTTTTTATAAAGATAGGTAAATTCTATTGATTTTCAATAATGATTATGGTGCGAATTTCGTCCAATGGGCGAATACTAGCAGCGATAAATAGATATGGAATATTAGCAATTCTATTATTGCTATTAAAATAAAATATAACTGAAAAATAAAAACATGTCCACACGTAAAGATGAGTACTACTTCAATCTATAAACGATTTCGTCTGACATCAAAAGAAACTCCACATGACTATGGATTTTTAGTGAATAACTCATTTTCAAGTAAACACGTACTAGTATCTAAGCTTTATAGAAAAATCTCATTTTATTTTCCTTTTTAGCGTTGTAACATAATAAAGGTCCTTTGTAATATAATTGTCATATTCCATTAACCTAAATAAATTTCCATATTTTACTCAACGTAATGACACGACTCTGAGCGAGTTAAAATTTCGTAGGCGGTCAACGAGGCCTGATACAGGAAAGGAATGCGCACACTGAGAGTTAGTAAGTTGAATTATCATTTTTTATAGTTTTTTAGGTTTTCTTAGAAATTCAGTTAGTTGTTTAGAAATAAATAAAAATTTTGATTTTAAATC